CATGGGAAGACTTGAACAGCTACAAGGACATAATATTCCCAGTGGAGTGTTTGTTCCTGGATTCAGGCAGACTTAGGCAGATAAAATGATCTCTTGATGGGAGCCCCCCCTTTTTTGGCTGGCAAACCCATGACCATTGTAATGTGATCATAATCACACTGGGACAGACACTGGGAGCTGCATCTGAAATAAGCCATCTCATGGTACAGCTGATGTTTAATTTATTGTCACAGGGAAACACTTTGCAAATGTTTTACATCTCTTCAAAAACCCAGTTGACGCTTGTTCCATGTGCAAGCCAGTGAGGCTATGTCATGTGGGTGCTTTGTGGCACCAGAGGGTGGCCCTGCCACTTGCAGGGATGCAGGGACAAGCTTATCCTCTGTGCACATCCACCCATGTGGATCACACTGTATGAGAGTTTAATCTTCCCTGTCCATTCAGGTTGCAAAGCAAATGCTAACACTGCCCTGGAGCACTTTTGTAGACTCAGAAGTCCTCTCTGGTTATTTCTGAAGCTTCTCTGCAGTTGTCTCTCTCCCACATTCTCCCACTGCCATGGATCCTGGCTGGCTCTGCAGCCTGAATTCTCTTGTGGTGTTAGGCTCCTTGGGAGGAGGCAGAGCCTCCTGCTCAGGGCATGGGGCAATTCAGGCTTTCAGATGTTAGGCAGCTGCTCTATGCTGGGTCCTTTGTTCTATTGCCAAGGGAGAGAGAAGTGGTGGTAGATGGTTCTTCCTATCAAGCTGAGTGGGATAAATAGCTCTAAAGATGTTCCTGCCCCTCTCTGTTGGCTACAGAAGGAGCCTGGACACCTAGTGTAGGAGAGACATTTAGGTAAATTGTTCCTGTATTAATGGGGGCCCATTAATGGGACAGGCAGCATCACTCAGCCATGACTAGATTATCAGTCCTGTGTCTGCTCTATTGCTTCTGATTTGATCTAAGTGTGACACTGAGGGATCAGTGATACCTCTGCAGGATGCCACCCCTGGAACCCACCCAGGATGCTTGGAGCTGCCACAGTGTGCAGTACTCCATCACTCACTAGAAGTATTTTGCCAACAGGTTCACATTTGGAGAGAGGTTAGACAAGTTTCCTGGGGAGAGAGGCTGCCAGTCTGCTACAGAAGTCCACCACTACAAAAGGCACCTGAGCCCAGCCAACAGCCAAGGTGGGACAGAAGCTTCACCATGTGCTTCCTGGCATTCAGCCCTGCTTGTGCTTCCCTCCTGCTACTGCTGTTGGAGGCTCTCAGGCTGTCACCTTATCACAGAGTCCTAAATTATGCTCCCAGTGCCTGCTGTCAGCTGGGCTGTCAGTTCCTGAGCACCATGTGGTGCCCATGGCTTTACACTTGTCTGCACTACCTGACTGTGGGCATCATATAAATCATAAACATTAATTCGCTTAATACCTTCCCTCTGTCCTAGGTTTCACAGTGGCACACATCAGGCAGCAGGTCACGGGTGCTATTACATCCCTGTCAACAGAGTAATCTGTCTCTGTGTCACACCTCCTGGACAGGCCTAATTTAACAGGGATGTTTTCTGGAACTAGCTGATAAATTGTTTGCTATGTCTGGTTACCCAGCCCCACTCAGCATTCCCATCACACTGGTGTTTGGCCCATGGGCTCTGGCATCTTTGGTAGCGTGCACTCGCAGGGCTCCCCTTGGGTGCAGTTTATCTCTGCAGTGACCAGCAGCTCCATTGTGAGTGGGGCTGGGAAATAAAACCTGCGAGGGCTGGGACGTCACCCTGTGGGTTTGGGTGCTCTGGGTCACCAGTGTGTTACAATTGGTGCAGCCTCCCAGGCTGGGGTGCAGGCACAGGCCATCTGGGGCAGCTCCTGTGCAGCCAGCCCCGCATCCTGGGGTTGTGTCTGATTGATTGGTTTTTGTATCCTTGGAAACTGAAAGGGCATTAAAATTGCATGATGCATGCACTCTCCTCCATGTAGTGCTGCCATGGGCTTGGAGATGGCTTCAGCCTCCAGTTGCCAGCTAAGGGGTGTAAAGGGCACTGACTGCTTTTGGGGAAAAACTAAAGTACAACTGAACAGCAAACTAGAGGGAGTTACCTCCGTTAATCACCACAGTGCTGGTGTTCAGAGGGGTGTCTTGACTCCCAGCCTTCCCTGACAGTGGCTCAGTACCTTCTCTTTGTGACCAGCTGCAGCAAGACTGGGCCTTAACGCAGGGAGCTCCTGCCTGAGAGGAGCTGTGAAACTTTCACCATCCCACCTGTGCTGGTTTCCACAGCACTGGCAGCTGGGTTGGACCCTGCTTGTGAAGTCCTGGTACTGCCAGCAGATGGAAGAGCCTGGTCCCTATGTGCCAGCGTGGGTCCAGCCATGCCCTCATTTGTGCTGAGGTGGCTTTCAAGCAGCTCTCCACCAGCTGCCAGGAGAAAGGGACTCCTGAAATTGCCCCTTGACCCCTGGGAAGGAGCACTGAAGGGTTGCCCCTAATCCAGGGCTGCCACAGCCTGTGCAGGCAGCTCTGAGTGCTGCCACCAACTTGCACACTCCTGGGGCCCCCCCAGCACCCCCCGCCAGCCTGTCCCCAGCCAACAAACCTCTTTTTGCATCAAATCTAGGTTACTCTCCATCTCTTTCTTTTAACACCAGATTTTCCATTTTCTAGAACCAGAACAAAGGCTCTCCCAGGATCTCATTTTCTCCTGCCTTCCCAGTTGCTGCTAATTAATATTGTGGCTGCCTAGTCACACAGCATGTGTTTATCTATGTGCATGTGTTCAGAGGATAGAAATGGTATCTGCATCATGGGATCCTACAGGCTTATTTGCTGGGGAAAACAGGTCTGTGATGCTCCAGGAATTTCTCTGGCTATTATGGCATCTCCTTGGCTCCTTGCAGCCCTGCAAGCCAGGGTGCTTCAGCTGCTCCCTGTTGCAGCTCTGCCAGGAAATGTCCACTGCACCTCTGCTCTGAGATACCTCCTGGAGATGCCACTGATGGTTGACTTGCAGGTTGTGGCACCCAGAGCCTTGTGCCTGCTTAAGTGCAGTCAGACCCGTGGAGGAAAGGGAATGGGGTGACCACGTGTGTGCATGCACAGGGAGGAGAGATAAACAGTCAAGAGAAACCGCAATTCGTTGTGGGCTTCAACTAATGGGCATTGAATACTCAGAAATCAAACAGTAAAGTGCAGCAGATCACCACAAAGCATCGCTGGCCATGAGTCACTGGTTAATGTACTGCTAACCTGGATTTATAGGTTTAATATTTTCAGTTGGACCATTCCTGTTGCTGTGCAGATTGCTTCATCAGTTTTTCTTTCCTGTCCTGAGGTACTTTACAATAGGATGTTTTGGGATTGTTATTTTTTCATAAATATATTTCTAAGGATATTGAAAAAATTCCTTGCCATTTATTCATCAACTTGGAATGGCTTCTCTAAAGTCCTAAAGTCCCTTGCACCTCTAAAGCATGGTGCAAGCTGGCTGACTGTCTCATACCTATGTAAATGTCCTTTTTTTGAGGATCTAATGAATATAATAGCCACTGTGAATGTCTTTACTTCAGTAGTGGCCATGCAGGAGCAGCTCTTAATGAAACTGTCTTTATTTGAAGGGAAACACCAGCACTTTTATACATTTAAAAAAAGAAAAAATGAGAAATTGTCAGTCATCCTCTTTACTTTTATTATTTTTTTAATGTTTGACTTAATACACTCCTTATAGTCACTGTTTTTAATAATACACATGCTCGTTTTCCCTTCCAGAGACCAAAACTCTGCTAGGTGCTGAACAAGCAGGTGCTCAAGCTCAGCTGTGTCCCGCGGAGCCACACGAGTGTGTTGCTGTGGCAGTGGGTGCTGCCCATGTGGGACAGCCTGGTCAAACTGGGACTTACTGTCCGTGTGTGCACTGTGTGACATTCACTGCTGCTCAGGATCCTGAGCACTGGGGTTTGCCCTGCAGAGCCGTGAACCTGCTCCAGCAGGGTGAGGGAAAATGGGTTGGTTAAGATTTGTGGTATTTAAGTTGCTGGGTATTGAATGTCTGAAACTGTTGATTTTTGAGACTGTAAACATGTGATGTATATACATATACACACATGCTATATATACACACGTATGTATGTTCGTTTGCATGTGGATATGCTGGGGTTTATGAGTCTGTTAGTGAGATGCTTCACTATCACCATTGCCCCTTCCAGACAAGGCCTGCAGGGAGCAGGTGACCCGGTGCCCGGGGGTGCAGAGACGCGCCAGAAGTGCCAGGAACACCCGGTGCCCCCCGTTAGATGCCAATGGGAACGAAGCCCCGGACACAGCGGTGAGGAGCCCGGATCTCTCCACAAGTAAGACTCGGGTTTAAAACACGGGGAGGTGTTGTGTGCCCTGTTCAACCCGCCGTGCCCTGGGGAAGAGCTGAGAAAGGTCACCTGGGACCTGTGCCCCGGGGCTTTGGGGTCTGCGGGGTCTCCAGCTCCTCCTTGGCCCGCAGCCCCGGGTCCCCCCCAGCCCCGGGTCCCCCG